GTTGTGGTTAAACTTCTTCGAATATCCGATGATCTATGATATATGAATTGTGACTTTATGAAAACAAAGTTTTAAATGTAAAGTTCAATTCTTTAAGGTCCCTAAAGATAAAATTAGTCTAACCGTAAAAAATATGCAATGTAAACGATCTCAGTAATGTTATAATGTTAAATAAAGAAAAACGGTTGTCATAATATAAAGTCTAAATCTAATAAATATCAAATACCTACATAAATATTAAAGAAATCCTTATAAACTTTTAAAACTAAGAAAAAATTATGCTATGCAAGCTACAAAGAATTTTTCAGAACGTGATAATAAATAACTATCACTTTCCACTCTAAATATTATTGGCTTGCTGCCTCCATTGGCTGCGATCCTGTGTCATATGGACGGCTTCATGTAGGGATTTTTCCACCAGATTTTTCATTTGGTTTGCCCATCGTATTGGAGATCTTCCTCTTGGTCTTCGGCCTTCTACCTTTCATTCTACTACCAATAGTTCTATGGTCCCCATTCTTCTAGTTATGTGGCCGAAGTAAAGTAGTAGGCCGTAGAAGACTCGGATTACTTTTTAATAGCCTGTCTTTTATATGAAGCTCTTCCAGAATTGACATTTTGGTTCTATGTTCTGTCCAGGACACAGGTAGAATGTATATACCAACATTTCGACGGCTTCGATCTTATTTCTATCGATTTTTTTGAGAGTAAATGTTTCAGCTGCGTATGTAACAATGGGAAAAATAAGAGCATTGACCAACCAGAGGTTAGTATTCTTTGTTATTGTTCGATCTCTCGCCATTGTTGGTTATCAAGGAGCCCAAGTATATAAATCTGTCTGCCGCTTCGAAATTCGTATGTGCAGCAAATTATTATTTGATCTATTTACAATCATTATTTTTTGTTTTTCCGATGCTAATCTTAGGTCCGAATATTTCGCTTATACCCATATACCCTTAGAACCCCCTAGAACCTTGTTGTTCTTCTGATAGTATTATAATTTTATTTAATTTATTTGTAATTACTTTGGTTGGTAATTTTAGTGTTATGTTTAATAAATTAATTCTTGTGTAATTTTCTGGGTCCGATTTGTCTTCTTTTTTAAAAAGAGGTATTAGGATGCTTGATCTCCATACTTGAGAAATTCTGTTTTGTTCTATTATTTTTTGCATAATTTTAAACAGTTGTTTGGTCAAATCTGGTCCTTCGTACTTTAAGAATTCGTTCGGTATTTTGTCTTCTACTGGTGATTTTCTATTTTTAATTTCCTTGCTTCTAATGCTTCTTTTACATCTTTTTTCTCAATATTTATTTCTTCATTTGTCGACACTTCTGGTATGCATTATAGTCAGCTTTAGCAATTAAGGATCGAAAGTAGTCTGCCTATGTTTCCTTCTGAATGTATTTCGTTTTATGTAACAATAAAACACTGAAAACTTTGTTTTCAAACTTACACAAAATTTATTTTAAATCTTATTAATTTATTATTTTTATCCAGATTTAGCCATACGGCTCACACTCCCTCTAAGGGGAAAATTCACTCATCCCAGATACCTACGGTATCAAAAGGATTGAGCTCTGGTGGGACTCTTTCCGTGTTATCGAGCCCTAGGTGACTTGATATGTTGGAGTATCTCCCAGAAATTTTGGTACACATCTGGACGTCGCGAGGAGTACAGCTTTCTGCATGGCCTTATAAAGATGTTCATTTAGACCCAGGTGTTTTATGTTCGCTAGGAGGTTTTTGGGAATAACACCAGTAGTAGATAGAACAATAGGTACTGTCTGGGTACTTTCCATTCTCCATTGTCTCTTGATTTGTATTTCCAGATCTCTATACTTGGCGATCTTTTCGTTGTATTTAACAAGCAGATTGTTAGTGTTAGGTATCGCCACATCAATAAGTGTTGTTTGCCTGGTAATTTTATTCACTAGTATGAGATCCGGTCTATTATGGGCCACTGGTTGGTCTGTGAGCACAGTGCGGTCCCAGTATAGCTTGTAGTTGTCATTTTCAAGCATTCTGTCAGGGACATATTGATAATAAGGAAGATGGTCGGTTTGGAGAAGTCCCAGTTTGTCAGCTAGTTCTTGGTGGATAATCTTTCCTACTGAGTCATGGCGTTCTTTATAATCGGTACCGACAAATGCCTGGCAGCCACCGGTAAGATGTTGGATGGTTTCTTGGGCTTGGCATCCATATCGGCATTTGTCATTTTGGACTTGAGGATCTTTAACAATATACTTCAGGTAATTTTTAGTTGGAATAACCTGATCCTGAATGGCAAGTATGAAACCTTCAGTCTCGGGAAACATCTTTCCTGATGTCAATCAATAGTTCGACGCTGTATTGTCGACATATTCTTGGTTGATTTCATTGAGATGTCGCCCATGCAGAGGTTTACTCATCCAGGTGCGCATTTTTTCTTGCTTAGTCAGATGGTTTGTGCGCATTTCTTGTTCCCTCAGTTTAAGCGGCGTTGTGTCATCTACTGCGCAAATTGCTCGATGTAAAGTAGATGTCTCAGCCTGTACCTGAAAATAAGATCTTAAATTAGCAATTTGTTTATCTAATTGCTCACCTATATCCATAAGTCCTCTTCCTCCTTGATACCGCGGCAATGTTGTTCTCTCTACTGCACTGCGTGGATGATGTTTTTGCGCCTTTGTTGTGTTCTTACTTTCCGCTGAAGACCCTCTATATCCGTTTTTGACCACTTTATAATACCGAATGAGTAGCTCAGCGCGGAACAGGCGTACGTATTTAATGCCTTAAACAAATTTTTACTATTAAGATATGACCGATTTAGTTGTTTTATTCTTCGCACAAACTCCGAGGTTAGTTCAGTTTTCATCTGTTTATGGTCAATTTTCCGCGCCTGTTTTACTCCGAGATATTTGTAAATATCATTTTCACCCATTGCCTCGATGTTTTGGCCATCTTGCATATCGAAACCTCCGGGCTGAACCTTTCCTCTGACTATATTTAGTATACGGCACTTGTCTAGTCCAAAATGCATACTTTGAGAAAGTTTCTACAGTTTTTAGCATCTGATCTAAGTGATTTCGAGTGGAAGCCATTAGTTTCAAATCATCCATATACAACAGATGATTAAGCTTCGCCACAACAGTGTTGTTATTTTTGATGCTAAATCCTGAGTCAGTGGAGTTCAGCAGCTGAGATAGTGGGTTCATCGCTAGGCAGAACCAAAGTGGACTCAACGAGTCCCCCTGGAAAAGGCCCCGGTTAATAGCGATATCTTCAGTTTCGATATTGGTTTCACCAGGTATTTGAAGGTGAATTTTAGTCTTCCACTTTGTCATTATATGCTTCAAAAAGGCCACGAGATTATCATCGACTTTATATATTTTCAATATATATATATATATATATTATTTTTATTAATTTTTATTATTATTATCTTTATTAATTTTAAATGTTAGTTCCTGTGAAACATACCAGTACGTCGTCTACGTATCTCCACCAATATAAAAACTGTTTGAATACGGGATGTTTTGAAATCTTTGTCTCTAGATGATCCATAAAAATATCTGATAGCAATGGGCTTAGAGGATTACCCATTATAAGTCCTGTACTGTTATTTGTATATATTTTATTATTAAATTCAAAGTAGTCCTGGTTTATACAAACTTCAAGAAGATGTAAAATTTCAGATGTAATTATTGGATTTGTACTATTTTGGTCTAAAAGGTTTTTTACTGGAATAAAAGTTTCTGTAGGAGGGATACTAGGAAAAAAATTTTTTACGTCAAATGAAATTAATCTGGAGTTGTTAGGTAATTGAAAATGTTGTATTATATTAACTAGTTCTATTGTATTTTTTATGGTAAATTAAGATGAAAATTTAGTGTGTTCTAAAATAATATCTAACAGTTTTTTTTTTTAAATTTTATATGACGGAGCTGTATAAAAAGAAACTACAGGTCTTATTGGGCGATCCGGTTTGTGTAGTTTAATGATAGAGTATAATTTAGGAGGCTGTGGGATCATGATATTGAGGTATTTCTGTTCTATTGGATTTAGTATTGATTTTGAATTTTCTAACGCTAGCTTAATTTGTTTTTGATATTTTTCTGTCGGATCGTTGTGTAAAGTTTCAATATTTTGATTAGTTAAGAATTCTATTGTTTTGTTATTATATTCTATTATATCTATAGCAATAGTATTGTTACCTTTGTCTGCTTTTGTAAACACAATGTTGTTTTCTATTGATTTATTTTTAATTAAAATTGCTGTTTTATTCTCTTGAAATTGCTATTTTGTGAAAAAGGTGTTAAAACAACGACAAAAAATGAGATATAGAGAGAGAAATTAAAGTAGAGAAAGAGAGCATAGATATTCAAACAGGACTCTGCACCCGCCCATAAGACCAAAACTTCTTAACAATGGCTTAAACATAATTTTGTAACCAAATTTATTATTTTTCTTTAGGTTTGTTGTGTTCCGATTTATTCCGCAGAAAAAATTTAAACGACTTATATGTAAACCAGCAAATTGCAGTCGATGGCATTGTATACATAACTCTTGGATAAATACCACCCAAGAATCCCGAAATTCCTTTTCTATTATATACCGTTTTTGCAGCCTCACCTAAAGTTTCTATCGTTTTTTTGCCTTCTTGGGTGTTTAAAAGTGTTTTGCAGACATCTAGTGGATTAGTTACAGCTGAAGCTAAACCTCCAGCTACTCCTCCACTAACGACATGACTAGCTGGAGAATATATTTTCGTCGGATTTAAAAGATTTTGACAAATTTCGTATACCACAAAATGTACGCTTTGAAATGGCACATTCATCAATACTGTAGTGAAAAAGGATCGATAAAATGCTCTAAATCCTTCATTAACATAAATGTCCACAACACATTTAACAGTATTCTTACACGTTGAACCTTGCATCTGCATACGCTGCTTCACCACCTCCGAGGGATTCATTATGGAATCATGAAATAATGTAGCACAAGAACTAGCTATTCCATGTCAAATAAAATCGTACCGAGGATTATTTACCAGTCCTGTTAGATTTTTCTTAACAAGTTCATAGTTAGCAAAGTAAAGACCGTGAGCTGGGCCTGCTGCAATAGCAATGGGTGTTATACCTCGTAATGGACTAAAAGTACCTTCTTTTTTCGTCATAGTGCGTAAATATTTTAAAATATTTGTATCACCTCTAAATTCTAAGGGCTGCATTCTGGTTTTTATAGTATCTATGGGAAACATTATACAAAATTCCATGAAGCCTGCCATGGCGCAAGCAAGTAGATGTATAGTGAAACTGTCTGTATGAAGTGTTTCATAATCATCTTGCGACATATGGATGGTAAACAGAGTCAAGTAATGAAAATTTACATTATTTTATAAATTGATATTAATAACCTCTTTTATTAATATCAAATTTATTAGTAGAGTACGGTCAATTTTACATTACCATAATCTGTACTTGAAAAGTAATTGAAGCGAGAACTGATAAAAGCTATGGACAATTTTCCTATGAATATCGTCCGTACAGCGATAATTAAACGGCCAAACAGACTTCGATGTTATATTCAGTCAAGAGAAGGCCATTTGGAATATTGTTTGTTCTTTGTAGTTCATTATCGGTCATAAATTGTGCATTTTTAAAAATAAAACCAGTAATTTAATTTTTTTTAGTTAAATACCTTGTATCAATCTTTTTGACAGGACTAGGTATTTGTGTAAGTAGAATAAACCATTTGCAAAACATAAATTCCATGGAAAACATAATGTACTAATTTCCATTTAATGATTAGACGAGAGAAACCGTTACCAACTAATTTCCGTTTTACATCAAATTGCCGTTTACCTGTGGGTATTGATCTATTTGCAACTTGATTCATCCATTTTAATGAGACATTGATGGTCCGTAAAACAATACCAATTTGAGAAGCTTTGTCAGTCACCGTTGCTGTTTAGGGATTCTAAACCTTTGACTAAATTTAATAAATAAAAGGTTTAACAGAAATATAACGGAGTAAAATAGGCAAACCAGCAAATTAAAAAAAAATTAAGGTAAATTTTATGTTTTTTTTGTATCATATTTAAAAATCAACTTTACAAGAAAACGTTAAAAGTGTTATTTAAACAATTCCATCACGCTTTAATACGTTTCCTAAAGCTGCAATTGTATTTTTTAAAAATGTTTTAATTAATTAACAATAAACCAAAATTTCTATGATTTTTTTAAATGACATGTTTCCCACGAGCACTTATGTCATCCTCGAATACTTTTTTTGATGTAATCGATCAATTTTTTAGAATTGTGAATAAAGTAACACAAAATTCTTGAGTTTAACCTTCATCCTTGCTTATTCCAGACTTAATCAATCAGGTTTAGGTCCAGCGAACATGCAGACAATTATTAATGAATGGTATTTTCACGTAGTTTTAGGGTTACATAGGTCTTGTATTTTCAGAAAATCGATTTATTTTTTATCCATATAAAAGCATTGTACTTCAAGAGTATTCACCCCAAATTTGAAGTAAATTTAAGCAATTTTAGAGCAGTTATACAGAGTTGAATAACACGCGAGATGTACGTGCGCTTTCAGTTTAAAAACTCCAAAAACGCGTTTTTCTCGAAACTTTGTTTTTATTGACATTTTAATTTTTTATATTAAAGTAATTTTATATTCTCAGTCACTGAATCGTTCAGTTATTGCTTAGCCCTTAGGGTTTGCTCTGTGGTCATAGTCGAGTGAAAATTCAGATAAGAAAGTGTCAATTATTATGTTTTTTCTGCATTGACCAACCCTGTATTTAGATCTTTCCTTTAAAATGTGTGCTATCAAACATTTTCAAATGTACTATAGTACCTTTCCAGTTTTTATATAATCTGGAAAGTCGACATTTAAAAACGACAAATTAACTAAATATTGTAACGGCTTTATTACAAAAGAAATTACCTTTTTTAGTTAAAACAGGAATTTCATCAAAGCCTTTAGATTTTTTATTTTTTAGCTTTTCTTTATTAATTCATTTAATTCGAATGTAGTGTACGCATGAAGAACGTGGTTATCTAAAACAGTGTTATTACAAATATCATCACTCTTTAAAAACAGGTTAAAGTTATTGGCTATTTCTCATGAATCTACAATTTAGTTACCCCCGTTTTGATAGCTTTATGTTAGGTTTCATTTCCAAATGCACTGCTGGAAGCACACACCTTTCCTGAGCTTTGGAGGACATTGAGGTTAATATATTTCCCAACGCTAGGGAAAAGTATCACCTTATCTGTCTTGAGACATATGACATGACATGATTGAGAGGTCTGGTGGTTTATCTCGGAGCCAATTTGGTTTTTGTAAAAGTAAAAGCACGATTGATGCAATCTTGAGTATACTCAAAGCATTACGCAACGGAGGGAATGAACATCGCTGGGCGGCCCTGCTGTTGTTTGATGTAAAGAATGCATTCAATACGTTGCAGTGGAACGAGGTAATGAAGACAATGAAGGAGAGAGAATGTCCTGGTTACCTGATGAATGTGGTGGCGGAGTAGCTGTCCGAGAGAACGATTATGGTGGAAAAGGGCACAATCTTGGTCGTGACGACCGGGGTACCCCCGGAATCTGTCTTGGGTCCGACACTATGGAACCTGGCATATGACAGGCCGCGTCGTAAAGAAGTTAATGACGCAGCGCGGACTGAAATTTGCGACAGAGAAAAACCGAAGCCATCATTCTGAAGGGGACAAGGAACAGACAAACTATTGAATTATAATTGTCTAATACCCAAGAAACAAGTAAAGAACCTAGGAGTAACATTGCAACAGAATGTAAAATTGGGGGATCTCACGCGGGAGGTGGTCAGGAAAGCTGCGAATAATGCGGCTGCGTTGGGGAGGGTGATGCCCAACATTGGGAGACCTAAATCCGATAGGAGGAGGGTCTTACGTGGTGTTGTACAGTCGATTGTCCTCTACGCGGCACTAGTCTGAAACGAACCGGTAGAGATAACGGCCTATAGGAGGCTCATGACACACGTGGACAGAACAAGTCTGTTGCGAGTGGCCTCTGCATACAGGACTGTGTCGTCGGAATCCTTGTGGACCATCAGTGTGTGTGTGTGTTTCGTTGCATGTTTTGGCACTGGAAAGTAAAGGGCTCTATGAGAGAAGAAGTCCGAGAAACCTTACTATGACCTTACTATGACCGAGAGAAGGTAGGAAAGAGAAAGGTCAATTGAAAGATGGCAAGAAGAGTGGAATAACACGGAGGATGTTGCACAATTGACGAAAATGCTGATCCCGAACATTAGAGATTGGGAGGACTGTGGCCACAGGCGACTGGATTATTTCCTGACGCAGGTGCTACAGAGCTGGAGAGTGCTAAAGAGAAAGAAAGACAGCTGGACCAACGGCAAAGTTAAGAGTGAAAGATGCTGAAATTTGAAGCTAGAAAAGTGGGCCAGACTGTATGAGTTAGAATGCGTGAGTCAGACTGTGGGGAAGCAGGAAATGCCCCTCTGGGAATGATGCCGTACTACAAGCGATGAGGGTCTTTTACGCCCTACCTGGAACGAGACATGGAGCCTCCTTGCTGATGAATAGAGTGTGGATGTGTATGAATGGAAAATAAATAAATAAAGGTAGTGCTCCGGAAGTGATGCCGACCTTAGAGCTGCCATTCCGCTTCCAGATCGCTGGATGACAGAGTAGAGTCTGGTTTAGCAGGAAGGCGTTTGGCGTAGACTTGGCGACGAGAGGACATTTTAAAGTACCTCGGGAACTATTGCCAGGAGTGCAAAGAACGAATCCTGCTCTAAGGTCAGTCAGGCGGCGTCCTGGACTGAGATGTCTTTTGAAGATTCCAGGCCCCCCTCTATAAAGACGAAAAAAAAGGTTTCATTTTCAAGGACTTTTAGAAGCATTATCAGAAGTTTTTATTATATTTTGGTAATGGCATTTTTTAGTTGAATTTAGAAGCTTTTGATGATCTCTTTTTTTAAATAAGGCGAAAAGCTCGGGTTCCTTAGGAAAAATAATCCCATTTTTTGCATAATCACTTTCATGAGATACTCCAAAATAAGGTTCAAGAGGCGAAAAGTTGTTGAACATTTTTTTTAACAAATTGTATCAATCAATTTCTTCGGCCAAAACTTTTGGATCATTCTGAACAAAATAGGTTTTTGGTAATATTTCAGTAAATGATTATTTTCGAGTTATAAACAATTGAAAACTGAAAAAGGCGCAAAATTACAATTTTCAATGCTCAAAAACACAAGTAAAAAATATTATTTTTGAATTCACCAGGGACCTTAACAAAAGTTCAAACTTTACTCTATAATTGATCCTAAGTATTTTGAGTTTATTTCATTTTAAAATATTTTTTTTATTAAAAAACAATGTTTTAATATAAAATAAGCTCAGGATTTTCATCGAAAGCTGATAGAAGAAAGCTTGAAATTGAATTTAGGCACTTAATAATTTTCAAAATAATATTTTTTACTCGTCTTTTGTTACAATTCGTTTAATAAAATTGTTTAAAAAATGTTAAACACCTTTTCACCTGAGTGACCTATTGAATCTTATTTTGGGGTATCTCAGAAAGTGATTATGCAAAAAAATCTCATGGAAATATTTTTCCGAACTAATTCGAGCTTTTCGCCTTGTCTATTTTATGTTTATAGAAGCCTTAGAGAGAGCCTTAGCCAGAAGAACAGTAAGGAGAAAAAAGAGACAACATTTACAACAACAAATTGAAAAAGTAGAACGTGAACACAGAAGCAAGCAAAATAAAAAATTCTACAAAGAAGTAAGACAACATAAGAAAGGTGCATAAATAAGAACACCGAACTTTGTGAGAGATAAAAATGAGCAAATAATTACAGCTGAAAATAAAATAATCGAAAGATGGGCTGAATACTTTTAAAGTCTTCGAAATGTTCCGGTAGACGCGGATGGAAATAAAGCAAATTGTGAGTACCAAACGGCCGAGATAGAAGTACCCCCGCCAAGCCTGAAAGAAATTATCACGGCGATAGAATCTCTAAAAAATGACAAATCCCCTGGACTAGACAATATTGATGCAGAACTGATTAAAAAAGGAGGGCATGAACTTAGAACTAAAATACACCAATTAATGAAAGAAGCCTGGGAACAAGAAATAATGCCAAAAGAATGGAGTGGCTGTATTATCGTACCAATACATAAAAAAGGCAGAAAGGATACATGTGGCAACTACAGGGTAATCTCACTAATCGGTACTACATATAAGATATTAGCTTCAGTTGTACTAAAACGATTACTGCCATATACAGAGGAAATTATTGGCGATTACCAATGCGGCTTTAGGC